AAAAAAAAAAAAAAAAAACCGCAACCGTGTGACACTATTTTGACATTAACAAATTCGAAACAAGAAATGCAAGGAACATGAATATGGACGAAGCACAGAAATCCAGATTGCAAAATCATACTGAAGTCCAAGTAGTCAAAGCAAGAGCAGATCGCACAATGGAACCGAGTAACCATCCATTTGAGAACGATACAGAAGAATCGTGAGTCAATGTCCAAGCCCAATGGGGCAACACCAACAGCATAACCCAATGTAGCTCTCTCTCTTGAATGGCGCCTGACGCCCTATCTACTCTACAGCCTAATACTACAACTATAGCATGAAAGCAACTAGACAACTTGACGACCAGCGAGTGATGATCTCAACACCAATGCCGACCTCCCTCTGCACCAGGTACGTCTCTCTCTTCTCCCTCACTCTCCCTTGTTATCCCACACAGCGCCCTTCACCTCCGAAGAACCACCTTCGCCCTTCACCTCCTCTGCGCCCTACAGGCAGCCCGGCTATGGCCGCCAGCGCCCTACGCCCAGGCAGCGCTCTACCGCTTAGCGCTAGCCTGTCTCTCTCAGCCGCAACGCAAGTGCAGCGCTACAATGCAGCAGCGTGCCCGCAATGCCTGCATTGGCCAAGATCCCTGCCCGCTCGCCCTCCCTGCCTATATGCTAGTGTTGCGTGTGGGCGGCCTCCCTTTAGCCTGTACCTGGGCCCCAGTACCTATACCCAGGCCCGATGCGGTTGGGGCCCAGGAGATGCAGTTGCGCCTCTTTCATCAAGGCCTGCGGCCAGATTCAGATACTGGACCGGTTTCCCATTGGCATTTCTGGCCTCTATATCCAGCATGCATTGTCGGCCTCACGTTTATGTGCCCAGGGCCTAACCAACTCTGGGGCCCTAGGTTTCTGCATTTGCAGAGCTCCGATACTCGGTGCACTCCAACCAACTGGCGTGCTGCAACTGTATGGACCCCACTTCGTGAAATGTTTGCACAGAGGGCTCTTGTTGATTTGCTGGCCCTCCTACACTTAGGGCGGGCACGAGGCTTGCTGGGGCCTTAGCCTAGAACATGTACATCATGGCAAGGCCCCTTCTTGAGGGCTCAATCCTCACAGAAATTATTAAACTGAAAAAAAATGCTAGAAACAACTTTTCTCTTTATTTTTGATCAAGTAACTCGGAGAAATGAAACACGTCTGGCACAGTCGGAGTGAATGTCTCTGTGGAAAAATGATACTTCCCGTGCTGAGGGGACAGGAGATCACCATTCGTAAAATGGACACGGACAACATGGATGGCCAGATGCGTTCATTGCCCAAAGAAGGAAGAGAGTTTGATGCGAGAGAGGCAAACACAGCTGTCAGAGTTCCTCCGTTTCAGGGTTTATTGATGTCTATATAATAAAAAAAAACGAAAGGCACATAAGTTGAGAAATGTATCTAATGAAAGGCACATAAGTTGGCAAACAAAATGACCAAATCTAATAGGTTATTCTCTTGTATTTCGGTTCCCTTAGATTCTCAATACATCAACGGCAGAGCTCCGTCCCACCATGCCACACGTGATAGAAAGCTCAGCATTGAGAAAACTCAACTTCGGCGGTGGGACTTCACCCCAGGCGACCGAAAAAAGACACAGAGGAAAGGAGAGAAAGAAACGGCCATGTGCCTGACTGAACTGCTAGAAAAAGCCATCCCGAGTTTCAAACTGCTAAACACAGTTTCAAATGCAATTGAAACTCGGGCCCTCACTAAACTGCTAAAACGCGGACTGAGAAGAGAAGAGACCGCAGCCCCAGTTAACAACAAGCAAAGTGTTACATGATGAAAAAAAAAAAAAAAAAAAAAAAAAA